TCAAAGAGGAATATGTGCTCAAATTTCCACTACCTAAGGACTACTCAATATATTCTGCTAAACTTTTTGCGATGTCCAAAGCAGTACCAACTCTTAATCGACCTAAAGACATGACACTAATATTTATAGATTCCGTAAGTGCAATCCAGGAAATTCAGAAAATATATCCGAATCATCTGATTTTAGAACAGATTAAAAAGACCTTGTAACTCTACCAACTAATCATAAACAACTACATATTGTGTGGATACCATCTCATTTGGAGATACCAAGAAATGAGATCAAATGAGCCGATCAAATGGCCAAAGAAGCTTGTAAAATGGAGAGATCCGACGATAGAACTAACCAAATTTCTCACTCAGATATGAAAAAATTCATTAATGAGTACACAAAAAACTTATGGTTACGAAGATGGTAACTTTTATCAAATAATAAATTACGGCAAGTAAACGCAGATCTATCAGCGAAAACACCAATTTTAGTAAAGCGAAGGGACCAGGTTGTAATACATCGTATCCGAATAGGACATACCAGACTGACGCACAAACACCTACTAAGAAAGGAACGTCCTAGAATATGCTACACCTGTGATACCAATATAACTGTAGGCCACATTGTTTATAGACTTTCCATTATATCAAATGGAAAGACATGCTACTGCACTACCAAGTGATATAAAGTGCGCTTTAGACAGTGCGGATTGTGCCAATTGTACCACCACTAATAACCTTCTATGGTTGATGCGGGTTATTCCCAATAAAATAAAAAAAAAATAATAAATTAAATATATATACTTACCATATAACTGATACTTAGTGTAGGAGATTCGTGGATACTAAGAAAATGAAGAATAGCATAATGAGAAATGTAACCACAGAATGTAAAGTTGCTCAAAAATACAATACATTTGTTTTCGAAAATCTTCTTAAAAGTACCTAAAAATAAGCGATAATGCTTAATTTTTTATCTAAGAAAGTAAGATTAAAAAGCTAAAAATTATTTTAATTATTTGAATATATATATATATATATATATATATATATATAATAAAAATAATACGAATAAGTAATAAAAGTGGAATGTAATGGCATGCCTCGCAAAACAGAAAACCAAAAAAGGTATAAAAGGCAACCATGTTCTTCGAAAGGTCTGCAGCCAAACTCTAGGTCGCAGGGCAAACGAACTTTACGACAGGAAAGTTGGGCTCTGACCTGTAGTTTAATTCACGGCGATGTGGTAGGTCATTAAGAACAAATTGATGTACTGGTCGCAATCTCTTTGATCTTTGGATAGACAGGTGTTTACCCTTTGTTCGGTTTATCCTCTTCACCTTTCCATTTGCTTGAGGATGTAGGGGTGTCGTTTTGGTTTTATTGATACCAGTTAATTTACAAACGTTTTTGTCGAGGGCTTATTTGCCACGGAAATGTGAAAAGCCACGGGATGATTACCACACTAAAGATCCGTAAGGATATCACCAGAACACCACAATGGCTGAAAATCCAAAACAAACGGCCCTTAGTCGCGGATACTTCCAAAGTGGGGAAATGGTGCAGGGAACGTATTCAAGAAATAACTCGCCTGAAGATAGATCTACGCAACGGCTTGGAGATCTTGCCCTAGGTCTCTTTTCTTTAACGCTACCCTCGACTATCAGTTTTTCCATCGTACCTGTTCTTCTAGCAATGTGTCCAAAATACTGCAGATATCTCTGTTGTATTTGTTTAAACAATCCATCCTTTACTTAAAGTTGTTCTAATATCGATACGTTAGTGCGATGATTAATTTAGAATATCCTTAACATGCGGCGGTATACCCACATTTCAAAAGCATTTAGTTTATTTTTATCCGCTTTTTTAAAGTCCACGTTTCGGATGCATATGTAGCTATGAGAAAAATGAGCGCCCTTACCAGCCTTAGTTTTGTGTGTATTGTTATGCTATAACTTTTCAAAATCGCTACCAGTTTCATCATAGCTATTCTAGCAATAATAAACCTTCTACCTATCTCTCTGTCACACCCTCCGTCATTTGTTATTAGGGACCCCAGGTATATAAAACTATTTACTACTTCAAAGCTCCCAATTTCTGTAATGTGTTTAAGATTATGTCGAGCTGTCTACTATCATGATCTTTGTCTTACTCCTATTTAGTATTAGTCCATATGTTTTGCTTTTTTCTCCAGACATCTTATTATGTCTTCCAGTTCTTCTTGACATACTGCGATTATTAAAGTGTCATCAGCATATCTCAAGTTATTGATTTTTTGACCTCCTACTGATATTTTGCCCTTCCATTCGTCTGGTACCTTTCGCAGAATGTGTTCGCTGTAGATATTAAACAAAGTTGGCGAGATTATGCATCCCTGCCTTACACCAGCCTCTGTTCTTAAGTCTCTGTGTTGTTTATTTTTACTGTGCACCTATTATTTTCATATAGACTTCTAATTAGTTAAATTAAGTGGTGGGGTGATTCCATTTCTACTAGTATGGACCATAGCTGCTGCCATTTTACTTTATCGAAGGCCTTTGTATAATACACAAAGCACATAAGCATAGGAGTATTGAATTCACGAGTTTTTTTGATTAGCTGTCTGACATTAAGGATGTATTCTTTCATACCTTTTCTTGGGACAAATTCCGCTTGTTTTTCTGATATCTGAGGCAATAGAAAAGCTTTTAGTCTTTCATGTATTCCATGAAGTAGAACCTTGCTTGCATGGGATATTAGGGTTACCGTTCTGTGGTTACTGGATGTTGTCCAGTTGTTGGGCTACTCCCCGGTTTCCCAAAATCTATATAGACTTTGACAATATTTTCTCCATACCTCCGCAATCTATTTCTCGTCATTTATAATATGGTGGTTTTAATTCATTATTGTTTGTGTGATTGGTTTAAATTCCCTGGATAGATATCGGACTTTATTATATAGCTCATGGGATTCATACCGGTTTGCATGTCTCTCTCGTTCTTCGCATTCTTTATTTATATGTTTATTTTTATCATCCCTACATGCTCCTATAATTTTTCTATTTAACCTTGCTTATTCGTGTTTGTTGCAGTCGTTTTGATATATAAGATATTTGATTCTCCTTTGCTTTTCGAGAAGTTGCATCGTTCTATCTGTTATCCAGTGTTTTCATTTGATTATCTTTTTTTCGGTTCTGGTTCTTTCTACAGAGGTTTCTATGGCATTTCTAAAACCTTTTCACATTTTTTCTGGTTTATCTTGTATGTTCGACATACTAATTTCCTTTAATGCATCTCTAAATGTTTTCGGATTTGAAATCTTCATCCTGTTTTGACTTTGGTACGGCATTGTTCTTTACAGTTTCACCTTGAAGCACGTCTATGCACCGACATCATAATCCACTGAAAAAGAAATAAAAAATGTCTATCAGACTTTTAAAGACTCTCTACAACTGACCAAAAACATGAACTTACTATTAGCATGTAGGATTTCACTGCCAAATAGGACAATGTACAGTCAAGAATATCGTGGAGTCATATGACTTAACATAAGAAACTAAAGATGACAAAGACATTTAATTCTGCCAAGAGACGGATATAGTTGTAACAAATACACTTTTTATATTATACCTTTATACATTGAATATACCCTTATACAAGGCTTTATACATTGAAAGCACCAGTAAAAAAATTCTTCTAATAATTAAATTTAATCTGACTCATTTATATCGGCAAATCAAATATATTAAACATTTTAAAGTAGAAGACATCAAAATGATATTGCCAATATTTATGAGTTGCAGGGATTTTATTGAAAGATAGTTCATTCAGTTATATGAAATCAACTTTAACTTAAAAATATCAGTCACAATAATCGTAGCATATGATTAGTGTTTTAGGTTAAATCTTCGTATTTTGTGCTAAGATATCTCCAGTTACTATATGGATAACTGTTAGTGAAATACCCTGTATAAATAATACTAAAATATAAATGATGTATTTTTGATATATTTTTGATTTATCTACTAATCGTGGCATTTTCTTTCTATTCATTTCAATTCTATTCAAAAGGTCTCCAAACATCCATTTCCATAAATATGACAACAAGAGATGTAAGAAATTTTCTATTTGTCAAATACAACTGTGCTCAACAATTGATAAGGATCAAAGTAATATTTTACTCCAGAAATAGCCGAAGTTTGTAAAAATTTAAAATAATATATTAATACCCGACTTTATTATCAATTTTAAACGAAATAAAATAAATTTTGCCATTATGGCCATTTTTTACTAGCGTAAGTAAAAAGTTGAATATTAAACTGGTCTATTTTCATTTATTCTATTTAAGTCATCATACTAGGATCTCAACAAACTTTTAAAATATTTGAAATCATAATTATGATCCTTATCAATTGTTGAGCACCATATTACTACGAGGTCCGAATATTTTCTGGAACAGTCATTAGGGCACATCAGTGAATGTTAGTGCAAAATTGCAAGTGCTCTGTGTATAAGGGAGTGTTAAGTTTGAAGCCGGCTCTGCACGTTGAATCCGACGATGAACCAGCAACGTTGCAGCGTTTTCTTCCATTTGATGAACATTGTCCGTAAGAGCCAACGCTGAAATCTACTGGTGAATCTGAGTTTAGAATAAACTGGAATTTCAAGAAGTTATCAATCTCGTTTGCCTTTTATCCAGCACATTTGGATAATACTTAAAATATCCGCGTAAACTGGTTTTATGCAATTTTGGCGTATGATCGTTTGGTCGTCTTTATTTTTAAAAGATGTTTGCATAAAAAATGTTTAAAAAACAGGTAATTAAATAATGCACAAAAACGAAAAGTAGGTACAAGGCAAGGTTTGAACACCAACTGAGGAGAAACCCAATAATATTGGGATTTCAAATCTGGAAAAAAAGACAGAGTATAGAAAGAAATACAAATTGTTCCTGAAATAGGCCAAAACTCTGATTATAGAACCTGGGATAATTAAGATCACATCATTATAATTAATTTTTAAATAATTTAATTCAGTACCTACCGCCAAGATTGAGTGCCATGCCAAGGACTCCTATTCCCAAGCCCAAACAATACATAGGTTTAACTAGGGCTCCGTAAATTGCAGTCACAAATCCTGTGCCTTCTCTTGTACTTAAAACAACTGCAAAAATCGGCAGCCCCAAAAACAGAAGAAACCACAAAATTGAGTACAGCTAAAATAATTACAAACATTAACCATTAACTGAAAATAGTACAAATAGTAGTTATATAATGAAAATTTAAAAAATATTTATTTTGAAAAAGTTTAACAACTTTAAAGGTTTCTCAACATTTTTGCCATGTATACCTTAGCCTTTCTAAAACACTTATGACCCTTTCCCCCATATTTATGTGAAGTGCATTATATTTATTAATAAAAAATTGTATTGTTTACTTAACGCATTGATTGCCACGTCGGACATATACGGCCGACACCCATAATGCGTATTAGGCCATGTCGCTCATATATATTATGTCCGACACCACGATTTTTCTTGTATATCATATAGCGCCGCGTCGCTCATATTTGAGTCACACTATACATATTTTACCATTAGGCATTACATGTGTGGCCTCCTACAAAGCAACTGTGGTTTAATTTCAGCTGAAATAATTTTTTTTTTGGCTTAGACTATCGTCATACAGCCAGACACAAAAGAACTAAGACAGTCATCATTATAATTATTTACCTAAATGCCCTATCAAGATAGAAGATTACATCGATATTAGGAGAACAGGGACACACTCTTCTCGCCTAGGGACCTATCAAGGCATTGATTTATATAAGACATAACAACACTAGGTCACGGAGAGGAGGAAGTCATACAAATGGTTTAAAACAAAGGTAACAAGATTAACTAAATAATTTTTAGAGAATTATAATGATAATTTGCTGTTTTTTAAAAATTTTGTTAAAGAGTTGTAAATATCTACAGAGCCAAGTGATAATAAATGTAGCATATTCCAAGGAGCTGCTATTTTATATTTTAATAAATCATTTATAAGTTTGGATGAATAGACTCTGTTTTTAGAACAACCAAAAAATATATGATCTAAATTACTTTCCTCTCCACAATGCTCACATTTGTCATCATCCAAAACCTTTATTTTAAATAAGTGCTTTGGATAACATGCGCGTCCGAAATGTATTCTAATAATGGAAGTTATGTGCCTCCTGGAAGCTCTAAAAGACTTGTACCAAGGAAATTTGGGAATATCTGGCTGAATTATCGAGCATCTATTTTGGTTCACAAAAGAGTATTCCTTTCACTGGTAGCTCCACACTCGAAGCAATGTTGACTTGCAAGAAACAATACTGTCAGAAAGCGTTACTTTGTGTAAAATATCAGTATCGGTTAAAATGCTTTCTTTGGCTAATAAGTCGACATATTCATTATGTTCAAATCCTGCATGTGCTTTAATCCAGAGACAATGTACATTGATTCCTTTGGTTAAAAGAGTTTGAATAATATGTTTAATTCTATAAATGTATGGGCAGTCTTGTAAGTTTGGTAGTCCATATTTACCAATGAATTTTAACACTGCCAAGGAGTCTGACAAAATTATAATATGGGCGAAATCAACTTCAGCTACATATAATAAAGCTTCATATATTGCAATGGCCTCTGCTGTATAATTCGAAGTTTCCGGGTTTAGTTTGAATTTCTTTTCTATATGATCCAATGGTATAAAAAAAGTGCATCCGGTTCCATCTGGAGATTTAGAGGCATCTGTATATAGAGCTATTGCCTCTTTGTATTTGCTTGTTATAGATAGAACAATATTTTTATTTAAATATATATTTTCATTATAATTTGGTATAATAATATCTGTATGTAAAAAGAAATAAGAGTAATTTTTCTATATGTAGTTCGTTCTATCTATATTTTTTAAAAGTGCTATATTTTGATTATACCAATATTTATTTTGCCAATTTTTTGCCAATATTTATTTGTCAGGTCATGGCAATTCAAAGTGACTATCTTTTCGTATAGAGATGAGTTCAGTAAGTATACTTTCATTAAATATTTTTTGGACAAAAACCTTCGTCTTATATTTAAAGGAGGTTCCAAGGCTTCCAAATATAAAGCTTGTACTGGAGTGGATCTCATGGCTCCTAAACATATTCGTAAGGCTGAGTTCTGTAAAACGTTGATTTTGTTTAGTAATACATTACTTGTTGATCCATATAAAATAGTTCCGTAATCCAAAATAGATCGTATGTAAGCTTTATAAAATAATAAACTTACTTCAACATCCGATCCCCACCAAGTTTTATTAATTGATTTAAGAAAGTTAAATCCCTTATTGCATCTGTTCAACATATCATCAATATGTAACTTCCAGGTCGATTTCTGGTTGAGTATCATTCCCAGATATTTAATTGTGTTTTTAAGGGAAAATTGGTGCCCACCTTAATTGATTGTACTGGCATTAGGAAAGTTATGTCTGGTAAATAAACAAACTTGTGATTTACTGCAGAATAATTCGAAACCATTATCTATAAACCATTTGTGTTAGAATCCGTACACTTCATTCAGGTTTTCAATGGATTGCTGATATTTTTTGTGTTCTGTATACAAACAGAAATCGTCAGCATGTTGTACAATATTAAATGCAATATTAGTAATAGTGATGTTGTGTAGATCTGGTGTGTAAATGTTAAACAAAATAGGACTCAAAACGGAGCCCTGAGGTAATCCTTTGTTATTAAGTCTAGGTCCTATAATATGATTTTCTTTTAAATAAATTATCCTATTTGTGTACAGGTACACAACGTTAAAAGCAAACTGTACTGGCATATGAAAAAATTAATATGAAATAAATTAATAAACAGAATTTACAGTAAAAACAAAAAAATTATTTTTTCATCTAAAATAGTCAATTGGGTTTATGATTGACTCCAAGACATTCCAAACACATAAATATTTGAGAGGTACAATCCGGACAGTAAGTGTATACCCTTTTTGCTTTGTTTCGGGCAACATATCGTCCTTCTTCTTCTTTTATCTTGGCGTAACAAAAGACACACATTCGTCGAACTCTTTTGTTATTTTCATCCATTTTTGTTAGTAAGAAATGCGTATTTTTCATGTTAAGAGTCTTCGTTAGTATGTTTGTTATATTTAACAGATCTTGTACAAGTTGTTCCCTAAATAATCGTATTTTTGTGAGTTTTATTTGAGTTTTAGAGGCCGTAGGACTTTTAACAACCTTATAAATTAGAAATGCATTTACAATTAACATTTCAAGCAGGTATTCAAAGGCAAGCTTTTGATACCAATTAACTCCCTTGTGTAGTGTAGAAGCATACGTCGATAATTGGACGGACACATCAATTCCTGTTTTTTCCTTGTTGTACGCTACTACTATCTTAGGCTTTTCTTTTGTTTGTTTTTTACCAGTCTTACTTTGCATACTGGTACTTGGATGAATGTTTCTCTCTTCTATCTTAGTCATATTTGGTGAGAGTTTTGTTGATAAAGTTTGTTCCCACAGTAAGTATTTCTATCAAGAAGTGACAATGCTAAGTTATAACTTGTGTAGAAGTTGTCGATATATAATGTGCGGAATTGATCTAGTTGATTTTCGAAAAGCTAAAGGCAAATTGCCTAACCCAATCCAACATTTTTGTCATAGTCATCAGATTTCCCAGCATAAATCTTAGTATTTCAAGTGTAACCATTGGTAGAACCTAGTTTGAACACCTTTACACTATACCTATGAGCTTTGTTTGGTATATATTGACGGAATATTAGTCTACCACGCCAACGAACTAATGTTTCGTCTATTACAAAGTCTTCTACTGGAAAATACATTGTATAAAATTTTCTATGCAAAATATCTACAAGAGGCTGTATTTTATTTAGACGATTTTGGGAACTACTATTCTCCGAAAAAATAAATAAAACGAAGCAGCAACTTAAACCTGTTACGAGATATTACTTTTGAAGCAACACTGTTTTGATAAATTTGTTTGGTTGACTAGAAGATGCAATACTACCATATTTTACTCCCCATCCAAATTAGAAGACCAAAAGTTACGTGTCGAGAACAAAGCTTTACTTCAGCAGGTTAATGAGTTAACAGAAATAAAGTAAGGAGTAGATTAAATATAAACCAAAAACAGCTAAAAAAACTGCAAAGGCCCAAAGTTCGAATAGTATGGACTACTGAGGAAGTCTCCCATACATGCAACTGGACCAAAAGCATATAAATTATTGCTGAAAATAGGTTATGCATATCATGCTGATTCATCCCTTCGCTCATGGACCAAAAAAGTCAAAATTGTTCCAAGCATAATAAAACCTGTTCTATATATTTTAAAAAATTCCCACTTATCTAAATCTGAAATAATATGTGTTGTTTCCTTCAATGACATGAACATTCGAAAATCCTATGTATATGACAAAGCAAACGATCACCTTTTAAAACATGCCAACTATGTTCAGATAGCAATGATGAGAGGACTACTGACATTCTTAAAGCAGGCAATTTATTTTGATATTGACATAAAACTGGAAAAATCAATTCTGTTTGACAAAATTAAGGAAGTAGAAAAAGCAAGATTTTATGTTTGTGCTATTGTTAGTAATTTGGGAGGTGGTAACAGAGTCCTTCATAAAAATCTTGAAATAAATGAAGAAAAGCCGTGGTTTATAGGCCCAAAAAAATCAGAAAATCCATGTTTTATGTGATGTACATACCACACCTTATAAAACTTATAAGAAATAATTTTCTTGATAATGGCTTTGTCTTTCGTAGAGCGGAAATTAATGAGAACATTATTTTTAAATTACTAAAGGTTACTTCTACATCGAATTTAACAATCGCATTTGCAGTAAATGAAGAAATGCAAAATGTACGTAAAAAGCAAAGGCAAAAGTTAGCAACAAAGTTATTTTCAAATAACACAGCTCAAGCGTAGAACACTAGGTTACTTTCAGGACGAAAGTTGAATAGAAAGTTGGTATATATGTAAAAAATAAGATTTGCCTGAAACTACGGATACTTACACGTGGATTTATCAAGTATCCGAAGACGGTCTAAGGAAACCTCCAGAAGAATTGGTGGGAAAAATTCATGAACTTATATTATTTTTAATAATTTCAATGGATCTGAACATCAATTAAAATCAGGCAAAAATTATTTAAAACGACTAATTGACTTATCG